AGGGCAGGTCCAGAAATGTTATCCACGAGCCAAGGCGTGGAATCAGGCACCCCAGGAGGCTTCTTGGTGCTCTGTCCCTCTGTGGTTGAGCTGGTAACTGAGGTGCCAGAAAGTCCCCTTTACTCTCTGCTCTGTTATTCTCAAGCAGGTGGGGTCTCTGACCTTAACCACTACAGCTATCAGTGTGCTGTGTTACATCTGAAGCTGGCACGTCTCAGAGTCTCACCCAGTGCCATCGCGTACTACCTGGGCACTGCTGCTTGTTATTCAGGGGCCAAGGGTTGTTTAGTCAGAAGGTGATGGGTCCTCCCATGACTGAGTTCTTCCCTTCAAGGTAGCGGGTTCTGTTTTGGTCCAGAGTGTATCTAGAAATATTGTCTGAGTGGGCCTGGAATGGGGCCTCACAACCTGCCCAGTGCCCTATCCTGTGGCTGAGGTGATATCCAGAATGCAAGACAAAGTTCTTTTTGCTCTTCCCTCTCCTCTCCTTGAGTGGAAAGAAGGACCCATGTAGCCTGGGGTTGCGGGAGGGGTGGCACAAGCACGCCCTTAGCTACTGCAGCTGGTGTCTCAGTAGGTTGTGCTCCCCCAACCCAACCAGGTCCACTGACTTGGAGCGCAGCTCAGCACAGGACATTTCTAGGGGTTGCAGTCCTTGTGGCCTAGACTGCCTTTCAAGTTTATTTAGGACTTCAGAGCCCTCCAACCCACAGTGGCAAGGCTTGCCAGATCTCAAGTCCTGACCATTGGAGTGGGCGATACCCCTCTGGCTGGGCTGGTCGATATGCTCACTCCCTGGGATGGCGTCCTTTGAGTTCAGCCCAGTTTTGCTTTCTGCTATGACAGGGAAGCACTGATTTCCGTGCAATGTCTGACAGTGACTGCACTTTCCCTTCCCAGGAGCACAGATTCTCCACAACAGGCAGCCACTGCTGGGGGATGGGGAGGGGTGGCATTGGCAAATCAAGACTATGTACAGCCCCTTTTAGTGCCATTTCCCGTAATACAAACTTAATTCCAGGTACTGTGAGTGCTCACTTGATTTTTGGTTCTTATGAAGGTGATTTTTTTCTGTGTAGATAGTTTTTAAATTTGGTGGTGTGGGCCGGGCATGGTGGCTCATGCCTGTAATCCCAGCACTTTGGGAAGCTAAGGTGGGCAGATCACCTGAGGTCAGGAATTTGAGACCAGCCTGGCCAACATGGCAAAACCACGTTTCTACTAAAAATACAAAAATTAGTCGGGTGTGGTGGCAGGTGCTTGTAATCCCAGCTACTTGGGCGGCTGAGGCAGGGAGAATTAGGGAGAATTGCTTGAACCCGGGAGGCAGAGGTTGCAGTGAGCCAAGATCGTGCCACTGTACTCCAGCCACAGTGACAGAGCAAGACTCTGTCCAAAAAAAAAAAAAAAATTGTTGTTCTGTTAAGGTTATGATGGATGCTGCTTTCTATTCTGCCATCCTGCTCTGTTGTACCTCTGGAACTCAGTGCTTTCAACTGGGAACACTAGAGAAACCCTAAATCCTCGGCGCTAAGTCCATAACGCAGGTTGTATGGAGGTATTCCCATTTCAGTGAAACGGTGTGAACACTTAGAAGGTGAGGCTTGGATTTGGTAGCAGTATATGAAATGCTTAGAGATAAAAGTGATCAGAGTGGGGAGGTGATGTTACTTCAGTTCCGTCTGGCTTCACGTTGGAGAACAGAGCATGGCGTTAAGGGAGGAGGATGGAAGACAGCGTTGAGGCTCATTCTGTCATCCAGGTGAGGTTTAATGGACAATCCTTGGCCAAGGAGATGTCGCTGGAATTGTGATTTACATTTGGTAAAGGAGCAGCGTGATTTTCTAATGTGGTCAGTAAGGACATGCAAGAGGGTTTCAGGCATGACCCTGGGGTTTTTTTGTTTTTGTTTTTAGATGGGAGTCTTGCTCTGTCACCCAGGCTGGAGTGCAGAGGCACGATCTCAGTTCACTGAACCTCTGCCTCCTGGGTTCGAGCACTTCTCCCTCAGCCTCCTGAGTAGCGGGGACTACAGGCACACGCCATCACGCCTGGCTAATTTTTGTAATTTTAGTAGAGACGGGGTTTCACCATATTGGCCAGGCTGGTCTCGAACTCCTGACCTCAGGTGATCCACCTGCCTCAGCCTTCCAAAGTGCTGGGATTACAGGCTAGAGCCACCGTGCCTGGTAACCCTAGGGTTTTTGGTCTTAGAAGCAGCAGTGATAGAAGCTGTATCAGCTGAGATGAGCAAGTTGGGATTAGGCATAATATTCATTGGGGGTATAAGAAGGGTTGTTTTCACCATGCTAAGAGCCTGAGATGCTTCAAAGACCAGTAAGTAGTGGCAGCAAGTGAGTAATGTCCACATAGGTTGCGATATCTGGGAAGGAATTGATATCGGAGACATCCAATATATGATAGCTAATGTGTGGACTAAGGTGAGTTAGCCATGGGTCCCGTTTTGGAGGGCACACTTCAGAATAAGGTAGTAAATGTTTCAAGGGGCCAGAAAGGAATGGTTGGAGGCTGAGGACTGGATGTTTTGCCTGGGTTCCTGGGTGACATGATTGGCATTCATAAACACAGGAGAGGGAGGTAAGTGACAATGTCAGGTGTATCAGACAGCATAGCTTGTCATGGCACGGACTTCCATGGAGATAATAGACATGAGACGTAGGCAGAAGTACAGGAGTAATTGAGCAAAAGGTCATCATTGCCGAGGGGTTGGCAAGTGAAGCACAGAAGTGGAATAGGGTCAGGAATAGCTGAAGCCACACATGGTTCTGTGTTGCTGTGGAACCGTGCAAGGAGGCCTTCATAGAATTACTTGAGATCACCACTCCTTTTAGGATCCAGTAGAATTGCAATTCTGTGGTAATAGTGGATCAGTTTGAATGGGCCATACACACTCTGGGTGGTGTCAGCCACGATGCGGTGTAAGGCCAAAAATGAAGGCCCAATGTGGTTTGCCACGTGGATGCCTGGTGATATTGGTACGACCCCAAATGGACCTGAGTGCAAGTTTCTTTCCCATTTACACTATCTTTTTGTATATTTTAAATTTTTCTCTCGTGTGGTGTGTGTGTGTGTGTGTGTGTGTGTGTGTAGAAACAGGGTCTTGGCCATGTTGTCCAGCTGGTCCTTGAACTCCTGGGATCAACGCAGTCCTTCCACTTTGGCCCCCAAAGTGCTGGGAATTACAGGTGGAGACTCCATGACGGCTACTTCATGCTCTTAGTAATGTATCTGAATGGGTGGCAGTGGCTCACGCCTGTAATCCCAGCACTTTAGGAAGGCCTGAGGCCGGCGGTGGAGTCGATTTTCCATCACGGAGTTTGAAGCCAGCCTGCCCAATAATGGCGAACACCCATCTCTGTTAACAAATACAGAAATTAGCTGGGCCATCGGTGGTACCCGCCTGTAATCCCGCTACTGAGGTGGCTGAGACAGCGGAAAAGACTATAACCCAGGAGGCGAGAGAAGACAATAGAGCCGCAGATTGCACGCACCATACTCCAGCCTGGGTGACAAGCGAGCTCCTCCACCAAAAAAAAAAACAGAAAAAAATATAGGTAATTTAAGTGTCCTAGCTCTGACCCTTCCATCGATGGGACCAAAGGACAGAGTATCAAGTACAATGGCATCCCTTCTGAGGAATCAGCCTTACATTCTCTCATGCTTACAAGCTTGCACTGCATGAGCATGGTGCTCTCCCCTCTATCTATCAATGAACATCCCCATGTGGCTTTCCATCGGATGATTGGTGTCCCTCTTATCAGACGGCTGTTAATCATGTTTGATTTTTTTTTTTTTTTTCGAGGGCAAGATTTTGGCCTTGGTTGCCAGGCCTGGAAGTGCGTGGCCCAGGCGATCTCCGGCTCACTGCAACCCGGCCTCCCAGGTTCAAGCGATTCTCCTGCCTCAGCATCCCGAGTAGCTGGGATCACAGGTGCCCGACACCACGCTCTGCTAATTTTTTGTATTTTTAGTAGACCGAGGTTTCACATTGTTGGACAGGCTGGTCTCAAACTCCTGACCTGAGGCGATCCACCCGGCTCAGCCTCCCAAAACGCTGGGATTACAAATGTGAGCCACTGCGCCTGGCTCAATACATTTGATTTATAAATTGCTCTTGATGACATCTGTAGAATATCAGATGTCATTTGTTTTACCAACATTATAACCCTAGGGGGAGATTTTAACCCACCCTAGTTGAAGAAAAAGGAGGGAATTAAGATACTTTAAGCTGGCTGGACACTGTGCTAATGCCTGTAGTCTTAGCACTTTGGGAGGCCTAGATGGGCAGATCACAAGGTCAGGAGTTCGAGACCAGCCTGGCCAACATGGTGAAATCCTATCACTACTAAAAACACAAAAAATTAACCAGGTGTGGTGGTACACACCTGTAATCCCAGCTGTTCAGGAGATTGAGGCAGGATAATTGCTTGAACCCAGGAGGTGGAGGTTGCAGTGAGCCGAGATCGTGCCACTACACTTAAGCCTGGTGACAGAGTGAGACTCTGTCTCAAACAAACAAACAAAAACATATACTTTAAGTTGTTTAAAGGCCAGAGAGAGGCCAGTGGTGTGTGACAGTGAGCTGGGGATGGACATGGATATGTACCTGGAAGTCTAAAGAATGATGTGCATTCAGAGAGGGTATGTCTGATGTGCTGAAGGTGCCACACTGGGCTCTCCATGCCCTCGGTCATACTGGGGGAAGTGCCTATCAGGAGGGGGTGGACTCTTATGTCACAGCCACCGCACAGATACCTATTTGTTCAACTAATTATTGTTGGTGGCTGTACCCCATGACCAGTGGGCCTAGTTTCTCCAGTGGCACCTGGAGGAGGTCATGGAGTCAGGGCTTTATTGAAAGCATACCAGGAACCTCCTCCTTGAGAGGAGGATGTGCGAGAGTAGATGTGTGGGAGAGAGGGATTGTGGTACCTCAGCATAGGGGCCGTTTGTAGTTTCATCTGTCAACATCATAACAGGGCACAGTGACTTTTGAAGACGTGGCTGTGAAATTTACCCAGGAGGAATGGAAGCTCCTTAGTGAGGCTCAGAGATGCCTGTACCGTGATGTGATGCTGGAGAACCTGGCACTTATATCCTCCCTGGGTAAGTTCCTCACACTCACCTTGTGACCCAAGCTAGTCTCTGTTTTCCCCACTCTTTCCCCATTGGCAAGACTTTCTCATGTCAGGAGCATGGACACAGCTTCCTGCTTCAGTTCTGTGAGTAGGTTCTTGGTTGGCAGAACTGAGGTGTCCATACTGCCCTGCTCCTTTCTTGGAGCAGCCCCAACACCTGCTTTACTGCAGGCTCCCAGGGAGGGATTCATAGTCAGAAGCCCAGCTTGTTAGTCCTGTGGATGTTTGGGTGTCCTTGTCCAGATTTCAGGTTCCTGTGTACCCAGAGTCTACTTCCTTTCTCTAGCTGCTATTTTCTTGTGCCTTCCTGTGGTGGGAATTGCCTTCACAGACTACATCACTGCCTACATAGACCAGAGGCTGTTCTTGTAAGACCTTCTTTAGAAATTCTCCTTGAAATACTGTTTTTTTCTCTCGTGGGCTTTCATGGGCTGAGTTGTTCTGGGACAATGTTGGCTGTTCCCTTGTTCTGTCTTTCCCTTAGTTTGTACGTTATTCATTTCCCATGTATTTGATCATCATTGTGGTGGGATGCACAGTCCTCCATGCTCCAGAAGATGCAAATGAATTCAGCCTCAGCATAATGGGCTCAGAAGGAATGAGTCCCTCAAGACTGGCACCCTGGGCTGGGCGAGGTGGCTCGTGCCTGTAATCCCAGCACTTTGGGAGGCCCAGGCAGGTGGATCATGAGGTCAGGAGTTCAAGACCAGCCTGGCCAAGATGGTGAAACCCTGACTTTACTAAAAATACAAAAATTAGTCGAGTGTACTGGCACATGCCTGTAATCCCAGCTACTTGGGAGGCTGAGGCAGAGAATTGCTTGAACTTGGGAGGGGAGGTTGCAGTGAGCCCAGATTGCGCCACTGCACTCCAGCCTGTGCGACAGAGCAAGACTCCGTCTCAAAAAAAAAAAAAAAGAAAAAAGTGGCACCCTGGAGGAGGTCATGGAGTCAGGGCTTTATTGAAAGCATACCAGGAACCTAATCTATTTTAGTAGTATTTTTGTGGCAAGAGAAGTAGGCACACATAATTCGTCTTTTCTTCCTCATTCTTGAGAGCATCACACTTGTCACTTGTCTACCTTATCACTTCTACTCTTTTTTTTTTTTTTTTTTACCTTTGACCTACTTGTACCCTAATATCCATTTTCCTGTCTAATCTTCACATCTCTGGACCCCAAATCTCATCCGCCTTACATACATCGCCATCTACAGTGTTCTCCAGTGTTGGCATAGAGATTTGTGTTAGCAAATATATATGCTTTGTTAAACTGACGTCGAGCAGTAGCTGCTGTGTTGTGCTCCTGTTTTCCTTGGCCTGGACAAATCCCTCTCTACAGCACTCACATGTCATGAGGATGTAAAGTTCTGCAGATGAGTGGTTTGCAGATGCAGGAATTGTAGACCCTGCCTATACTCCCTGTGTTACATACATGGTTGTGTCCTTTACGTCATGAGGCCTCCTACATTCTGTGACCTTTAGAGTCCAGTAATAATAAATAGCACCATCTTCCACCTGAAGCCAACATTCTGTTCCTCCAAGTATTTCCTTGGAGTAATTCCTCAATTTGTCAGATACACTTGTGGGTGGTCTGTGCCTTCCCATCAGAGTTAACATGTACTTCACTAGCATTTTCTTGCTTTCAGGTTGTTGGTGTGGAGTGGAAGATGAGGAGGCACCTTCTAAGCAGAGTATTTATATACAAAGAGAGACTCAGGTCAGGATTCCTATGGCAGGTGTGTCTCTTAAGAAGGCCCATCCCTGTGAGATGTGTGGCCCTATCTTAGGAGACATTCTGCACATGGGAGATCATCAGGGAACACATCCCAAGCAGAAACTGCACAGGTGTGAGGCCTGGGGGAACAAATTGTATGACAGTGGAAACTTTCATCAACACCACAATGAGTACGTTGGAGAGAAACTCTACAGAGGCAGTGTTGAGGAAGTGTTGTTTGTGAAGAGGTGTAAGTTCCATGTGTCAGGGGAGTCATCTGTCTTCAGTCAGAGTGGGAAAGACTTTTTGCCCATTTCAGGATTACTCCAGAAAGAGGCCACTCACACTGGGGAGAAGTCAAACAGCAAAACTGAGTGTGTGTCTCCCTTTCAGCGGGGGGGAGCTCACTATAGCCATGGAGAATCCATGAAACATTTTAGCACCAAACATACACTCAGTCAGCACGAGAGACTTCTCCCTAGAGAAGAGTGTTATGTGTGCTGTGAATGTGGGAAATCCTTTGGCAAACATGCTAGCTGCAGTAATCATCAGAGAGTTCACACTGGTAAAAGACTTTATGAATGTGGAGAATGTGTGAAATCCTTTAGCAAATATGCTAGCTGCAGTAATCATCAGAGAGTTCACACTGGTAAAAGACTTTATGAATGTGGAGAATGTGTGAAATCCTTTAGCAAATATGCTAGCTTCAGTAATCATCAGAGAGTTCACACTGGAAAAAAACATGAATGTGGAGAATGTGGGAAATCCTTTAGTCAAAAGAGAAGCCTCATTCAACATCAGCGATTTCACACTGGAGAAAAACCTTATGAGTGTGAAGAGTGTGGGAAATCTTTTAGCTCAGAAGGACATCTTAGGAGCCATCAACGAGTTCACGCTGGAGAAAGACCTTACGAGTGTGGAGAATGTGTGAAATCTTTCAGTCATAAGCGCAGTCTTGTTCACCATCAGCGAGTTCACACTGGAGAAAGACCTTATCAGTGTGGAGAATGTGGGAAATCTTTCAGTCAAAAGGGCAACCTCGTTCTACACCAGCGAGTTCACACTGGAGCAAGACCTTATGAGTGTGGAGAATGTGGGAAATCTTTTAGTTCAAAAGGACACCTTAGGAACCATCACCACATTCACACTGGAGACAGACTTTATGAGTGTGGAGAGTGTGGGAAATCTTTTAGTCATAAGGGCACGCTCATTCTACATCAGCGAGTTCACCCTAGAGAACGACCTTATGGGTGTGGAGAATGTGGGAAATCTTTTAGTTCAAACGGGCACCTTAGGAGCCATCAGCGTGTTCATACTGGAGAAAGACCTTATGAGTGTGGAGAATGTGGGAAATCTTTTAGTCATAAGCGCAGCCTTGTTCACCATCAGCGCATTCACACTGGAGAAAGACCTTACAAGTGTGGAGAATGTGGGAAATCTTTTATTGAAAAAGGACACCTGAGGAGTCATCAGCGAGTTCACACTACAGAAAGACCTTTTAAGTGTGGGGAATGTGGGAAATGTTTTAGTCACAAGGGTAACCTCGTTCTACACCAGCATGGCCATATGGGAGGAAGGCCTTATGTGTGTAGGGAATGTGGAAAATTATTTAAGAAGAAGTCTCGCCTCCTTGCACACCAGAGAATTCACAATGGAGAAAAGCCATATGCTTGTGAAGGTTGTCAGAAATTTTTTAGGCACAAGTACCAACTCATTGCACATCAGAGAGTTCACACTGGAGAAAGGCCTTATGAATGCAATGATTGTGGAAAATCATTTACCCACAGCTCTACGTTCCATGTTCATAAGCGAATTCACACTGGAGAAAAGCCTTATGAGTGCAGTGAATGTGGAAAATCTTTTGCTGAAAGCTCCAGTCTCACTAAACACAGGAGAGTTCACACTGGAGAAAAGCCTTATAAATGTGAGAAATGTGGGAAATTATTTAACAAGAAGTCTCACTTCCTTGTACATCAGAAAGTTCACACTGGAGAAAAGTCATATGAGTGTGAGGATTGTCAGAAAGTTTTTAGCAAGAAGGACCACCTCATTGCACATCAGAGAGTTCACACTGGAGAAAAGCCATATGAATGCAATGATTGTGGGAAATCATTTACCCACAACTCTGCATTCCGTGTTCATAAGAGAGTTCACACTGGTCACACGACCTTATGAGTGCAGTGAATGTGGGAAATATTTTGCTGGAAGCTCCTGTCTTGCTAAACAAAAAAGAGTTCACACTGGAGAAAAGCCTTATGGGTGCAGTGAATGTGGGGAGAAATTTAGCCAAAGCTTTTCACTTTTTCATCATCAGGGAGTTCACAAGAGAAAGGCCTTAATTGTGTAGTGAATGTGGGAAATCCTTTGCCAAAACTTTCAGTCTCATTAAACACAGAAGAGTTCACACTGGAGCAAGGTCTTGTGATTGCAGCAAATGTGGAAAAAAAGTTACCTGAAGGTCTTCTCTCTTTGAACATCAGAGTTCACACTAGACAAATGAAATACATTTGGGCGATTTTGTAGCCACACCTCTGTGTTCCTTCAGCATCAGAGAGTTAACACTGGATCAGGGCCTTACCAGTGTGACAAATGTGAGATGTTTATGTAGAAATCTAGCTTCATAATACACAGGAGACTTACCACTGCAGAAACGCTTTTTGAATGTATTGAATGCAAGAAAGGCTTCAGCCTTTTTTTTTTTTTTTTGAGATGGAGTCTCTGTCACCCAGGCTGTAGTGCAGTGGTGTGGTCTAGGCTCACTGCAAGCTCTGCCCCCCGGGTTCACACCCTTCTCCTGCCTCAGCCTCCCGAGTAACTGGGACTACAGATGTCCACCACCACACCCGGCTAATATTTTGTATTTTCAGTAGAGACAGGGTTTCACCGTGTTAGCCAGGATGGTCTTGATCTCTTGACCTCGTGATCCGCCCACCTCGGCCTCCCAAAGTGCTGGGATTACAGGAATAAGCCACCACGCCCAGCCCGGCCTTCAGCCTTCTTATTAGAGCCTCAAACATTGTCATGAGAAGAACACAATAGATGTATATGGAATGTTACTTCTTTTTCAATGTAATATTCGAGGAGCTCCTTTGAGGGTGCCACCTGCCTAGATTGAATGTCATTTATTGAGAATCTGCAAAAGTTTCAAGCATGGGGCAGCTACAGTGCATTTTTCACTCTACCCAGGTGCCTTGCTAGATTTTTTTTTGAGATAGTGTGTCACTCTGTCGCTCAGGATGGAGTGTAGTGATGTGTTCACATTTCTTGATCTCCTGGACTTGTGATTCTCTTGCCTCAGCCTCTTGAGTAGCTGAAACCACAGGCATGCACCACCGTGCTCCACTAATTCTTTAAGTTTTGGAGAGACAGGGTCTCACCATGTTGCCCAGGCTGGTCTTCAACTTCTGGACTCAAGTGATCTTTCCACCTTGGCCTCCAAACATGCTGGGATTACAGGTGTGAGTTACTGTGCCTCACTTTTTTTTTTTAACTTTTAATTTCTGATCTAGTCACAGAAGGATTTGTTGAGTAGCTTCAGCACTTCTTCCTTTGTCATTTTTTTCTGTCTGATAAGTCGTGCCATGGACCTTACCCATTTTTATCCCAGAGGCCTCTTATGTTGACTTGAAAAGATGAACTATGTCTTTCAGAGATCTTGTGGTTATCACATAAATCTTGACAAATTTTCTACCCTCCAAGTCATGATCCTAAGGACAGCTTGCCTCCCATTTCTCCAGTTTGTGCTATTATGGAGGCCTTATTGTTTCAGCCTTCTTCAATCTTGAGGGTTGTTGTCACTGTATGCATGGTTCAGAAACAAGTAGGTCCTGTTACCATGAAGGGGGTCACAGCTTTTGTTGGCATAGCTAAACTCTTTGTGGCTCATGGGACAGTATGAATGCAGAACATAGCTTTCTCCACTTGTGGACTGCTTTGCATAGCTGCCAGAGGCCTCCAGAGAAGGCCTTCAGGGCTTTGTGGTCTTTATTTGTAGCATGGATACTAAAATTTGTGGACTCATAGGTCAGCTGGGTACAGGGCACTTTTTGTGACAATTTCTGGTGTTTTTTGAACAAGACAAAATTCTCACTTTTACGAGGTATATTGCATTGTACTTGGTACTGCTGAGGGAAGTTTGTTCCCCAGCTCTTGCACTGCAGACACATGCCTTGATATCCAGAATTCTGTAGGATAATATCACAGATTGTAATGCTATTGGGTGAAATTATAATTTTGTAGAATTACTGCATTTATAGGCAGTGGAGGAGACAGAATAATGTAATTGCAACACGTCTTTTTTTTTTTTTTTTTTGAGACGGAGTCTCGCGCTGTTGCCCAGGCTGGAGTGCAGTGGTGCAATTTTGGCTCACGGCAACCTCCGCCTCCCAGGTTCAAATGATTCTCCAGCCTCAGCCTCCCGAGTAGCTGGGACTACAGGCATGTGCCACCACACCCAGCTAATTTTTGTATTTTTAGTAGACATGCGGTTTCACCGTGTTGGCCAGGCTAGTCTCGAACTCCTGACCTTGTGATCCGCTGGCCTCAGCCTCCCAAAGTGCTGGGATTACAGGTGTGAGCCACCGTGTCTGACATAATGCATGTCTTTTAAAAGGGCATCCACGATGATCCAGTCACTATGTATGTGATGAATATGCAGATACAGTAATTTCAGTTCTTCCATAATGATGAATGTTGTATTGTTGAGGCCATTGTCAGAGGAAATACTCTAGAGGTTTTGTGAATTCCTGTACCCATTCTGGGCTGTGCACCTCAAGGTCATTCCTGCATTAGCAGGAGGAAGATGATAGGGAGAAGGGAGATCTCAGTTCAGTGATGTGGCCTTTGTGACCAGCCAGCCAGTTAATCAGATGGAAATGGCCTTATTGCCACATCAATATTTGCTACCATGGAGGCTAGTTTTCTCACTTAGGGCATGAGAAGAATTGGTGTAGTCAGTGTAGAGTTGCCAAACCTATTCTCCAAAAATAATGATAAATATTTTTCTTTTGAATTGCATTTTTTTATTATTATTTTTAATTTTTATTTTTTTTGAGATGGAGTCTCGCTGTGTTGCCCAGGCTGAATGGAGTGCAGTGGCACGATCTCGTCTCACTGCAAGCCCTGCCTCCTGGGTTCACACCATTCTCCTGCCCCAGCCTTCCAAGTACTTGGGACTACAGGCACCCGCCACCACACCTGGCTAATTTTTTGTATCTTTACTAGAGATGGGGTTTCACCGTGTTAACCAAGATGGTCTTGATCTCCTGAATTCGTGATCTGCCCACCTGGGCCTCCCAAAATGCTGGAATTACAGGCATAAGCCACTGCGCCCAGCAATTTTTTTTTTCTTTTTTGAGATAGAGTCTCACTGTCACCCAGGCTGGAGTACAGTGGCATGACCTAGGCTCACTGCAACCTCTACTTCCTAGGTTCAAGCAGTTCTCCTGGTTCAGCCTCCCGTGTAGCTGGGACTGGAAGCACGTGCCACCATGCCCAGCCAATTTTTGTATTTTTAGTAGAGACGGAGTTTTGCCATGCTCGCCAGGCTGATCTCGGACTCCTAACCTCAGGTGATCTGCCTGCCTCAGCCTCCAAAAGTGGTGTGAGCCACTGCTCCCAGTCTGAAGTATATTTTAAAGCAGTGATAAGTTGTAAGTTATAAATGACATTCAGTAAAGTATGCATATTTAAGCTGTAGTATGTGATAAATTTGGAGTTTCATATAATCCCATGAAACCACTGACATAGTCACACTAATGAATTTAACACCTTTATATTTACCTGGAACCTTTTTTAAAAGTCTTTCTTTCTGTTCTCCAGACGATCAATGATTTACTTTGCTGTACAGTAAAGTACTTTCCATTTTCTGGAATTTTAGATGACTGATGTAATAAAGTGTTTCCTCGTATAATCCCTGGGTGCTCTCTTGTATCATTTTTTTGTTTTTTAATGACCAGTATATATATGTATTTATATTTTTGGAGACGGAGTCTTGCTCTGTGCCCAGCCTGGAGTGCAGTGGTGCGATCTTGGCTCACTGCAAGCTCCGCCTCCCGGGTTCATGCCATTCTCCTGCCTCAGCCTCCGGAGCAGGTGAGACTACAGGCGCCCGCCACCACGCCCGGCTAATTTTTTTTGTATTTTTAGTAGAGACGGGGTTTCATCGTGTTAGCCAGGATGGTCTCGATCTCTTAACCTCGTGATCCACCCGCCTCGGCCTCCCAAAGTGCTGGGATTACAGGCTTGAGCCACCACACCTGACCCAAAATGTATTTATTTAATATTAATCACAAGGCGTCCACCAAGGCTTAAATTAAAAGACAAAAGAAAAATAGTACCAAAGCTCAAGATACAGAGTTCTATACAGAAATCACGGAAAGGGCAGACAATCTAAGGAAAAATTAAAAAAGCACAAGGATAGGCTGCGCAGCCTGGGTCAGAGCTCCTGGCTGGTGACCTACTTTGAGTAGCTTTCTTGCAGATACTTCCTTATTTTTTTTGAGACGGAGTTTCACTCTTGTTGTCCAGGCTAGAGTGCAATAGTGAGATCTCAGCTCACCGCAACCTCCGCCTCTCGGGTTGAAGTGATTCTCCTGCCTCAGCCTCCCGAGTAGCTGGGATTACAGGCACATGCTACCACGCTTGGCCAATTTTTAATTTTTTTAAATAGAGATGAGGTTTCTCCATGTTTATCAGGCCTTGGACTCTCTATCTACCTCAGGTGATCCTCCCACCTCGGCCTCCCAAAGTGCTGGGATTAGTCGTGAGCCAACGCGCCCGGCCCTTGCAAGTACTTCTTAAAGCTGTGGGGTTTCCCAGAGCTTGGTAGCATGTGTGTTTAAAGGGCTATTAATGTTGGGTTCCAGCAGGCACTGGATAGAGAGCAGGATGGTCCTGATATCATACAGGGCAGACCACTTCTCCTTCAGGATTTCCAGGCATATGTTACCCTGGGTGTTCATGTTAGGGTGGTAGCAGGGTGTGAGGAACTTCACCATGGGTGCATTGTAAGGGTGGGTAGTCACTGAGGAACTCTAGCAAGAGTTTATACCTCAGGTCTTCATACACTGTGCCAGCAGCTCCATGGATAGTCTCCATTTGATAAGGCTTTCAGGGCAGGCAGAAATTCTTTTGTCACCAGGCATTGTGAGGGTCACCAGCTCCTGCTGTAGCCTTTTGCCTACAGGGTCCCAGGCAATGCTCCTGCTGGGCTCAGCTCCTTTATGGGTGGTGGCAACACTGACAGCGACTGGGTCAAAGTTTTGGGAGGCTACCTGGGTGGCAAGAACTCAGAAAATGTGACTGCATCTGTGATCATCATGTTTATTTTTTAATCTTTATTTATTTTGAGACGGAGTCTTGCTCTTGTTACTCAGGCTGGAGTGCAGTGGCGTGATCTTGGCTCACCACAACCTCCGCCTCCCGGGTTCAAGCCATTTTCTTGCTTCAGCCTGCGGAGTAGCTGGGATTACAGGCACTTGCCACCATGCCTGGCTAAGTTTATATATTATCTATTTTTTTTTATTTTTTTTTGAGACGGAGTCTCCCCTGCTGTAAGCCAGGCTGGAGTGCAGGTGGCCGGATCTCAGGCTCACTGCAAAGCTCGCCTTCCCGGTTCAACGCACATTCTCCGGCCTCAAGTCCTCCCCGAGTAGGCGGGGACTACCAGGCCCCGCCACCTCGCCGGCTAGTTTTTTGTATTTCTTGTTAGATGACGGGATTTCACCGTGTTAGCCAGGATGGGTCTCGTCTCCTGGGCTTCGTGATCCACACGTCTCGGCCTTCCCAAATGGCTGGGATTACAGCTTTAGCCACCGGCACCCGGCCAGTTTTTTTTTTTTTTTTTTTTTGAGACGGAGTCTCACTCTGTGCCCAGGCTGGAGTTGCAGGGCCAAGGGATTTCAGTCTCCTGCAAGCTCCGCCTCGGTTCATGCCATTCTCCTGCCTTTCAGCCTCCCGAGGTAGCTGGACTTACCAAGGGCGCCGCGCCACCTCGGGCCCGGGCTGTTTTTTTTTTTTGAATTTTAGTGAGAGAACGGAGTTTACGGGTAGCAGGATGGTCTCGATCTCCTGACCTCGTGATCCGCCCATCTCGGCCTCCCAAAGTGCTGGGATTACAGGCTTGAGCCACCGCGCCCGGCCCAGTTTTTATATTTTTAATAGAGACAGGGTTTTTCCATGTTGGTCAGGCTGGTCTTGAACTCCCAACCTCAGGTGATCCACCCACCTCGGCTTCCCAAAGTGCTGGGTTACAGGCATGAGCCACCACACCTGGCTTAAAAATATTACAGGCCGGGTGTGGTGGCTCTGGCCCACACGGTGAAACCCCGTCTCTACTAAAAATACAAAAATGAGCTGGGCTTTTAGTGGCACGTACCTGTAATCCCAGCTACTTGGGAGGCTGAGGCAAGAGAATCGAACCCGGGAGACGGAGGTTGTGGTGAGCCAAGATCACGCCACTGAACTCCAGCCTGGGTGACAAAGTGAGACTCCATCTAAGAAAAAAAGAAAAATATTTTTAAGTTCTCAGTCAACTTTAACTGAATAGTTAGTGGTCAGTTTTGTAATCACAGTGACATTCTTGCAAACAAATATAATGTGTGGCCTCTTTGATATACTGGATAGTTAAAAATTGTTTTAAAGTTTTGCCTAATATTTTATTATTTATCTCAATGTAATCTGTGCAGTGAAATTTATAGATGATGCCTTTTTTTTTTTTTTTAAAGACAAGAGTCTAGCTCTGTTGCCTAGGTTGGAGGGCATGATGTCAGCTTACTGCAATCTCTGCCTCGTGCATTCAAGCGATTCTCGTGCCTCAGACTCCCGAACAGCTGGGATTACAGGTGCACAACACCACGTCTGGCTAATTTTTGGATTTTTAGTAGAAATGGTGTTTCACGGTGTTGGCCTGACTAGTCTCGAACTCCTGTCCTCAAGTAATCCACCTGTCTCAGCCTCCCAAAGTGCTGGGATTACAGGCATGAACCACTGCGCCCAGCCTAAATGACTACTTTTTATGTTACACATTTTAAGTAATTTTTGTCATTTCCATCTTAGGTTGTTGCTTTTTTGTTTTTTGAGACGAAGTCTTGCTCTGTCACCCAGGCTGGAGTGCAGTGGCATGATCTTGGCTCACTGCAAGCTGTGCCTCCTGGGTTCACGCCATTCTCCTGCCTCAGCCTCCCGACTAGCTGAGACTACAGGCTAATTTTTTTGTATTTTTAGTAGAGACGGGGTTTCACAGTGTTAGCCGGGATGGTCTCAATCTCCTGACCTCATGATCTGGCCACCTCGGCCTCCCAAAGTGCTGGGATTAGGGGTGTGAGCCACCGTGCCCGGCCGGGTTGTCGCTTTTAATGTGCTTTGGTTTTAATTTTATGTAGAAAAGTAAAATGGTTTTTTCTCTTTAAATTTAATCCTTGCTTTTAATGACTTGTGCACCCCAATTTATTAAGAAAATAAACCATTTAAAAAATAATCTTGAGTTGGGCATAGTAGTTTCTGTAATCCCAGCATATTGGGAGGCAGAGGCAGGCTGTTGACTTGAGTCCAGGAGATTGAGACCACCATGGGCAACATGGGAAAATCCTGTGTCCACAAAAAATGCAAAAATTAGCCGGGCAGGGTTGCCTGCCTGTAGTCTCAGCTACCCAGGAGGCTGAGGTGGCAGGATTACTTGAACCCTGGGGGTGTCTGAGGCTGCAGTGAGCCATGATCATGCCACTGCATTCCAGCCTGGGCAGAAGAGCAAGATTCTGTCTCCAAAAATAAAAAGTGTATGTGTGTGTATAGACATATATACACATACACGTATATATAATGCCTTTGTATGTGTAAACTTGATTTAATTTTCAATTTTCATGTGAAGCATAAATTGAGCAGTTTTTCTATCTCAATTTTTAATCTATTTTAACATTATATTACATTATCTATTTTCTCTGGAAATTGATAAGCAACATACACCCCTCAAACATGGAATTACAAATAGGAAAAGATGTATGAATCTTTTGTATAAAAAAATTCCGACATATATTTAAGTCACATACAAGCAGGAAGATTAACTTCATAAGAGAATTAGCAAAAGTTATATTAATTCAAGACAAGAGCCTGCAGAGCCTAAAATTGCTTAGTACTGTTTTTGCCTATATAAACTGTAGTTTTGCCTATATAAACTGTAGTTTATGGATAAAATAAAGGTTTTTTTTTTTTTTTTTTTTTTGAGATGGAGTCTCGCTGTGCTCCCAGGGTGGAGTGCAGTGGCATGATCTCGGCTCACTGCAAGCTCCGCCTCCCGGGTTCATGCCATTCTCCCGCCTCAGCCTCCCAAGTAGCTGAGACTACAGGCGCCCGCCACCACGCCCGGCTAAGTTTTTTGTAATTTTTTGAGTCAAGAGACGGGGTTTCACCATGGTTAGCCAGGATGGTCTCGATCTCTTGACCTCGTGATCCACCGCCTCGCCTCCCACAGTGCTGGGATTACAGGCTTGAGCCACGGCGCCGGCCAGGATTTTTTGTTTTTTTTTTGAGGCAGGGTCTCGCTCTGTTGCCGAGGTACAGTGCGATGGCACCATCCGGTGACTTACACCTCCATTTTCCAGGAAGGCTCTTTTTTTTTTTTTTTTTTGAGACGGAGTCCTGCTCTGTCGCCCAGGCTGGAGTGCCAGTGGCCAGATCTGCAGCTCACTGCAAGCTCCGCCCTCCCGCGGTTCACGCCAATTCTCCGGGCCTCAACTTCGCGATAGCTGCGATACAGGCGCCCAGCCACCTCACCGCTAGTTTTTTGTATTTCTTAATAGAGACGGAGTTCACCAGTGTTAGCCAGACGGGTTTCTCGATCTCCTGACCTCGTGATCGCCCGTCTCGCCTCCCGAAGAAGTGGCTTGGATTACAGCTTGACGCCCACCACGCCCGGGCCTTTTTTTTTTTTGTAGACGGAGTCGTTGCTCTGTCACCCAGAGGCTGGTAGTTGAGTGGGCTGGTTCCTAAGTCAACTGCAGTCCTGCCTTCTCGGGTTCACCGGCCTTTCTCACTGCCTCAGCCTCCTGAGTAGCTGGACTACAGCGCCGCCACTCGCCCGGCTAGTTTTTTGTATTTTTTAGTAGAGACGGGGGTTTCCACGTGTTAGCCAGGATGGTCTTGATCTCTGACCGTGATCCGCCCGTCTCGGCCTCCCAAAGTGTGGGAGATTACAGGCTTGAGCCACCGCGGCCCGGCCCTTTTTTTTTTTTTTTTTGAGACGGAGTCTTGCTCTGTCGACCGGCTGGGTGCAGGTCGCCGGATCTCAGCTCACTGCAGAGCTCGCCTGCCGGGTTCACGCCATTCTCCTGCCTCTCCCGAGTAGCTGGGATACAGGCGCCTGCCCCTCGCCCGGCTAGTTTTTTGTAGTTTTTTAGTAAGAGACGGGTTTCACTGCATTAGCCAGGATGGTCTCGATCTCCCGACCTCGTGATCCGCCCGTCTCGGCCTCCGAAAGTGCTGGGATTACAGGCTTGAGCCACTGCGCCCGGCCAGAAGGCTCTTTAATTCCCCCTGATTATAAAGGTTTTGTGCAAACATAATTTGGTGTAATAAAAAAATATTTACACAAGAGACAGACACATACTCGTCAGTGTGTACGGTCATAATTTGAACAAGCCCTTTTAAACTTCTAGATATCATTGAAACTCCTATGTTGATTAAAAATGATCAAAGATCTTTCCAGTGAGAAGGATGAAAAATACTAGTGAGAATGAAGTATCACTGTTTCATATACGTGCCTATATGTGCTTACATATGCTTACATACAGCACATGCTGTAATACAAGGTGACATTTAGGGGTTGAGACTGTTAACATCTCATTATACCTTGCTATTTATAACTTACAATCTTTTATTCACATTTCTCAAGTGTTATGCCTTTAAGTGCCTATACATCATGCTATCATAGAATTTCTAGGGATAAGCCGGGGGTGGTGGCAGACGCCTGTAATCGCAGCACTTTAGAAGGTCAAGGAGGGTGGATCATGAGGTCAGGAGTTTGATACCAGCCTGGCTAACATAGTGAAAGCTCATTTCTACTAAAAATACAAAAATTAGCTGGGCGTGGTGGCGGGAACCAATAGGCCCAGCTGCTCAGGAGGCTGAGGGAAGAGAATCACTTGAACCTGGGAGGCAGAGGTTGCAGTGGGCGGAGACCACGCCATTGCACTTCAGCCTGGGTGACAGACTGTAGCTGAAAAAAAAGAAAAAAGTGTAAAGGTAAACTGAGGCTGGAGCTGAACCGGGAACGAAGAC